CAGTGGGAGGATTAGTGCCCCATTAAGGGTGTCAGTGGTAAGAATAGGGGGGGGGGAATAATGCCCATCATTGGTGTCAGTGGGAGGAATAGTAGTGCCCCATAATTGGTATCAGTGGGAGGAATAGTGCCCATCAGGAGTGTCAGTGGGAGGAATTATGCCCCATTGTTGGTGTCAGTGGCAGGAATAATGCCCCATCATTGGTGTCAGTGGGAAGAATAATGCCCCATCGTTGGTGTCAGTGGGAAGAATAATGCCCCATCGTTGGTGTCAGTGGGAAGAATAATGCCCCATCGTTGGTGTCAGTGGGAAGAATAGTGCCCCATCATTGGTGTCAGTGGGAGGAATAGTGCCCCATCATTGGTGTCAGTGGGAAGGAATAGTGCCCCATCATTGGTGTCAGTGGCAGGAATAATGCCCCATCATTGGTGTCAGTGGGAAGAATAATGCCCCATCATTGGTGTCAGTGGGAAGAATAATGCCCCATCGTTGGTGTCAGTGGGAAGAATAATGCCCCATCGTTGGTGTCAGTGGGAAGAATAATGCCCCATCATTGGTGTCAGTGGCAGGAATAATGCCCCATCATTGGTGTCAGTGGCAGGAATAATGCCTTGTGTCAGGAATAGTTCCCCAAATACTGGTTTAAAGGCAGGCAAGGGTTACAATTTGGAAACCGTCGCCCTATTCTTCTAGGCAAAATAGTGCCTTTTGGGATTTCCTTCACTTCTATCTGCTATCTTTTATCACCAGGATGGGGAGGAAAAACCTCTAATGAAGCCCCAAGGAGCAGCAAAAACCAGACGAGAGTCTCCTTCTCTGCTCCATCCACTTCTGGTTGAACACACGCCTTTAGTAATTGATATGTTGGGGAGGAACCAGACTTGTCAGGTATCCAATGGGGTCAGATATAATGCGCCCCCCCCCCCCCCCCCACCATAAAAAAAAAAAGCATTCACTCGAATCCTCCTCTGCCCTCCCATCGAAGACAAAGGTTTCACTTGCTGCATAGTATTTGTTTCTCCCGAGTCCTCGGTCTGTCTGCCTTCCTGATCTGTCAATGGGTCCATTCCGAGTCTGCGATGATCGGCTCTGCCCACCACGTCCAGCAGGAGCTGACACCAGGTCCACCTTTTGTATGCAGACATCTGGGCGGAGCTCTCGGGGTTCGCCGCTTGCTGGTTAGGAAAGGATTTGTGACCCTTTTTCTGATTTTTGCGTTTTTTATATATAAAGTCATAGATTAGTTGATTTTTACAAATGTCTCTTGTTAATGCTTTCTTTTTTTTTTTTACGAATGTCACGTTTCCCTCAGCAGGCCAAGGTAGAGAAAAAACCTGTGCCAGCCAGCACAGCCCGAAAAGCAGTGCCCCCCCGCTGCCCCTAAACCAGCCGCCAGTAAACCCGCAGACACTAAAGAGACCGCACAAAAGCAAAGCAATGGGAAAGTGAGTGTAATGCTGAGCCTGTGGTTGGCTCCCTCCCTCGTCACTGTCCCTAACCTGACAATGTGCCGCTGTCTACCTTCCTCACTCCTCTCTCTTCCTCACTTCCCTTTATTACTGCACATAACACAACCCCTTCCTGGTGCCGTGTGCTGGGAGTACGCAGGTGAGTATCGGGTGTTGGACGCCACGGACTGGCTCCAGATTTGGAGCATTTGATTGGATATTCCCATTATTTATAATAATATTTCTGGTACTTGTATAGCGCCGTCAATGTACGTAGAGCCTTACTTATATATTTGTACATTCACATCAGTCCCTGACCCTCAAGGGGCGTACAATCTAAGGCCCCTAACTTGCATCCATACATACTAGGGCCAATTTAGACAGGAGCCAGTTCACCTACCAGCATGTCTTTTTGGCACACTGACTTATGAAGGTCGGTGCTCCCTGTGACTGCGCAGGCAGCCTTGAGCTCAGGGGCGGACTGACGACTCATGGGGCCCCCCGGGCAATAGGGGATCATGGGGTCCCTGTGTCCTTGCCCAAACTCAAAAAAGCCTATGAAAAAGGTATCAGGGGCATCTCATGGGGCCCCCTACTGACCCGGGCCCTTGGGCAGTGCCTGAGTTTCCAAATGGTCAGTCCGCCCCTGCTTGTGCTGCCATCTGTTGGCTTGTTACAAAACTAGTCTCGAAACTTTTTTGATACCACCTTGTACATTAGGGCCAATTTAACCATTGAACCTACCAGCGTGTCTTTGGAGTTTGGGAGGAAACCCAAGCAGGCACAGGGGGAGAACATGCAAACTCCTGGCAGGTGGTGCCATGGTTTGGATTCAAACCAACGACCCGAGTACTGCCAGTCGGAAGTGCTAACCATACATACTAGGGCCAATTTAGACTGGAGCCGATTCGCCTCCCAGCATGTCTTTGGAGTGTGGGAGGAAACCGGAGTACCTAGAGGAAACCCACGCAGGCACATGGAGAACATGCAAACCCCAGGCAGGTGGTGCCATGGTTGGGATTCGAACCAATGACCCGAGTACTGCCAGGCAGAAGTGCTAACCGTACATACACATACTAGGGCCAATTTAGACAGGAGCCAATTCACCTCCCGGCATGTCTTTGGAGTGTGGGAGGAAACCCGCACAGGGAGAACATGCAAACTCCAGGCAGGTGGTGCTGTGGTTGGGATCGAACCAGCGACCCCTAGTACTGCCAGTCGGAAGTGCTAATCATACATACTAGGGCCAATTTTTTAGACAGGAGTCATTTCACCTCCCAGCATGTCTTTGGAGTGTGGGAGGAAACCCATGCAGGCACAGGGAGAACATGCAAACTCCTGCCAGGTGGGGCCCTGGTTGGGATTCAAACCAACAACCTTAGTACTGCCAGGCAGAAGTGCTAACCATACATACACATACTAGGACCCAAATTTTGACAGGAGCCAATTCACCTCCCAGCATGTCTTTGGAGTGTGGGAGGAAGCCCACACAGGCACAGGGAGAACATGCAAACTCCAGGCAGGTGGAGCCCTGGTTGGGATTCAAACCAACAACCTTAGTACTGCCAGGCGGAAGTGCTAACCATTTAGCCGCTGTGCTGCCCATTACATAGTGTTGTTACAAAAGTCATTTGCACCGAATGTACAGCAGAGCGATGGAATTTTTCTGCATCTTCCTGAAATGATACAACTCAGTTTAGATTTACATAAGCGGTATTCTCCCAGACGACGTATGTTTTGGGCATCGTATGGAAGATGGCGAGCGGCGGTCAGGACTTGCTATTTCGAAGATGACGGCTTGTCACAATCTGACCTTTTACTTGGGAAGAAGACGCATCTGGGGAGGCTGCGGCCGATCGGGGGAAAACTGTCTGTTACCGTTTACATTAGACGTCGCAAACAAACGAAAGAATTCCCAGCGCACATACCAGCCAGCCTGCAAAACAACCAAATTTGTACCTGACCAACAAAAAAAAAAAAAAAGAGTTTTGTTTGCACACATTTGCAAATCTTTGCATGAGCAGCAATGCCCACGTCAAGGCTCCTCCGTGTACCGCAGTCCTACCTTTACAAATGTCAGAGTCTCCCTGGTACGGGTGCAAAGAACAATGGATAGATGAAGGGCAGGTATGCCTGGAGGGAGCCCACCCTACAAATGGGATCATGAACGTTTAGGATCCTCGCTTTCTATGAAGCTAGTATATCCCACAGCATGTAATGGTCAGACACCCCCCCCCAGTATAGTGTCCTGTTTGTACACCTGGGCAGAAGTATCAACTTTGTGTATCGCCCAATCCTGTGAGTGACTACACTTCATACGAAGAGCCCATTTTCTTCACTGTGGTGCGTTATGACCGTTCATTAAAAATGGGCCCTTCAAGTGATACTAACACACTGTTTAATTTACATTCTTTCTGTATGGGGATGACGGCACTGTAAATATTTTATTAAAAAAAAAAAAAAAAATCATCAATCTGCAGCTGTCACATGACCCAGCTCTTTCCCAGCCTGTCTCTAGGGAAACAGTGGCAGGCGGGGCTTTTGATCCACTTCTGCTGGTCACGTGCTAACTAAAAAATGCTTTTGGAATAGTCAAAATAAATAATATTGATAAACGTTTTGGTATGGGTGGATTTCTGCCAGTCGCCCCCAACCCCCCCCCCCGAATCTGTGTCTTAGAATAACAGAGAGGTGAAGCCTCCATCAATCAAGGTGTAATATCCCCCTGCCATTGTGTATAGCTAATTAGCGTGCACAGAAATGCACATGGGCCGTTCAAGTGGTACTAACACACTGTTCAATTTACATTCTTCCTTCTTTCTCTCTATGAGGGCGATGGCACTGTAAACATTTTAATTAAAAAAAAAAAAAAAATTAATCCTGCAGCTGTCACATGACCCAGCTCTTTCCCAGCCTGTCTCTAGGGAAACAGTGGCAGGAGGGGCTTTTGGTCCACTTCTGCTGGTCACATGCTAACAAAAAGAAAAAATGCTTTTGGAATACGGAGTCAAAAATAAATAATATTGATAAACGTTTTAAATTGTTATTATTATACAGGATTTATACAGCGCCAACAGTTTGCTCAGCGCTGTACAACATAAATGTTATACAAATATATATTTGAAATCAAATCTTTTTTGGCAATAACATGGTATGGGTGGATTTCTGCCAGTCACCCCCCCAACCCCCCCAATCTGTGTCTTAGAATAACAGAGAGGTGAAGCCTCCATCAATCAAGGTGTAATATCCCCCTGCCATTGTGTATAGCTGGTTAGTGCGCACAGAAATGTACATGGGCCCTTTAATTTACGTTCTTCCTTCTTTTTTGTATGAGGATGATGGCACTCTAATGATTTTTTTTTTCTTTAAATTAAAATATCGATCTGCAGCTGTCACATGACCCAGCTCTTTCCCAGCCTGTCTCTAGGGAAACAGTGGCAGGAGAAGCTTTTAGTCTACTTCTGCGGTCACATGCTTGCAAAAAGAGGGAAAAAAATGCTCAAAATAAATAATATTGATAAACCGTTTAAATTGTTATACAAATTATATATTTGAAATCAAATGTTTATTTTTTGGCAATAAACATGGTATGGGTGGGTTTCTGCCAGACCCCCCCCCCCCCCCCCCCCCCCCCCCCCCCCCCCCCCCCCAATCTGTGTCTTAGAATAACAGAGAAGTGAAGCCTCCATCAATCAAGATGTTATATTTCCCCTCCCGTTGTGTATAGCTGATTAGTGCGCATGGAGGAAGGGGGGGGGGGGGGGGGGGGGGGAGGGAGTGGGCTGCCATTTGCCACTGTGTAGGCCCACATGTGTGACTCTCTAGTCACATGGGCTGCTCAGATGTGATGGGAAGGAAATGCTCAGCATAGAGACTGACGGAAAACTGAGCATGTGCAGAGCTGCCAACACTGCTCTGCATAATCCCCAACTGCAAGTGGGGTCATGGACAGGAGGGGGAGATGGAGAACAGCAGGATCAACCAGGTTTTTTTTTTTTTTTGTTTTTTTGCAGAATACAGAACATTAATCCCATAGTGACTGAGTGTAGGAACTGTATGTAATGCAGCATTTATTGATGGGTGTTTTTTTGCTTTTTGTTTTCTTTTTGTTTTGGCTTTTTTATATTTTGGCTTTTTTGGTTGTTGTTTTTTTTTTTTTGTTTTGTTTTGGGGTTTTTTGTTTTGGGGTTTTTTGTGTTGGGTTTTTTTTTTTTTTGTGTTGGGTTTTTTTTTTTGTGTTTTTTGGGGGTTTTTTTTGTGTTGGGTTGTTTTTTTTTTTTTTGTGTTGGGGTTTTTTTTTTTTTTGGGGGGGGGGGGGGGGGTTGTGTTGGGTTTTTTTTTTGTGTTTTGGGTTTTTTTTTTTTTGTTTTTTTTTTTAATGATTTGGGCTTAATGACACTCTAATATTTAACATATTCTCCAATGTGCAGAATAGAATTGTAAAGGAATAGGGCCGTCCTATATCCATACTACACAGTACTTGGCACAGCTCATTAGACAGTCCTGCCAAACCAGTTCTAACGCTTGAAGTTAAAGCGGAGCTCCACCCAAAAGGGGAAGTTCCGCTTTAAGTCTTTTATCCCCCGCTCCCCATTAAGGATTGGCACCTTTGGGGAGCGGGTACCCAAATTTGACAGGTACCCACTTCCGCTGCGATCGCCTAAGGATGCTGTTTTGGGTTGAGATCTGGAGAAATCGGAGGCCAAGTCAACACCTCCGTTACATGTTGGAAAGATAGAAATTTGGTGACTGGACCATCTAGTAATGAATGCAGAAAGGCTGCTTTGAACAAAAACCGTGAAGAACGGTGCTTGGTGATTAAAGCTGAAGTCCGGACACGAAATCTTCGATCTAAATGCGTTTCCTCAGCCTCAAAGGGTGCACTGAATGCCTTTTGCAAACCCTGATTTTATTTTGTAGCAGTGACATCATCACTGTTCTGTTTATAGCCTGAGCGGAGCTGTAGGAGGGGCTCAACAGGCCCCACCCTACAAGGC